TTTGCTATCTCCTTATTTCTTAACTAGCACAATTCAGAGTTTCTAACTGAGAAGCCTATATTCTTCTCTGCCTACTGTAGGAAGCACAACAGCTGAGTTGTCTGTAGTTGCCCAAAATAGACTCTGACCGGTGTGCAGTGCTATCTTGTGTCAGGGCCTCAAAGGGGACACAGCAGCTGGGGCAAGGCATCCGAGCTGACCTGGCAGCTGGAGCCAATTATCCTGATGGATTTATAGGTGTGAAGTCCTCTAGGCCAAATATAGGAAGGGTTCCCACAATCTCCGCAGGAAATCCTTGGCCCTGGAGGGGTTGTCACTTGCATTTAAACACTAGATCTCTCTAATGAGGAGTTCTTCTTTTGTTTCAAAGTAAATAACAAACAGTAAATTATATCCTTAGTTGTGTTCTTTTAGATCAGAATATTCATGTCAACATTTCAGGACTTATTTCAAGATAAATAGCAATATGTCGGCTGAAATCCTGTTGTACAGCTCTGTGTGCACAGCACCAATTATGTCCTAATCAGCAGCAGATCATTGCTGATTAATGGAATCCTGTGGCAATTTTGGGAAGCATGTGACACTATTCAACTGAGTACAAGTAATGTACATCCTGAGCCAGGCCACCAATCCCCAGCTCGGAGAGCTGTCCCAGGAGGATACCATGGTCAACGGTATCAAAGGCAAGATATCAAGGACATTTAACATTGGGCTCCCTCAATAGGTCATCAAGCAGGGTGATCAATGCTGTTTCCGTACCTGAAGCCCAACTGGAATGGATCCAGGGCATTGGTTTCATCCAAGAGAACCTGAAGATGATCGGCCACCAACCATACAATAAATACAGCCTAAAATCTAAGTATTGCTTCAGGAAAATTATGTTAACCTTTTAAAAACAGTTTTCATTTTAAAACATCTGGGCAAAAAAAAAGCATACAAGGTTGCAACGAAACATACATCCTGCTGGTAATAATTCTAAAACGCTGTAGGGAAGGCTGCAGTTTATTATTCTCTTATTCAAGAAATGTGCCCTTTCCTTATCTTTTTTTCATTAACATTTTATTAGTTTTTCAGTATATCTACATTCAATTTGTGCTTGTTAAACATCATGTTACATGGGTTGCTTATAATTATTTGTTTTTGCATCTTGGTATCTTCTTAGTTGTCTCTTCAAAATCTATACATTTTGTAAGCATTTGAACCAATTATGTGTATATAGCATACAATATTGGCTACTATCATAATATTGCTCTCATAGTATACAATGTTCTCAAAATCCTCTAATAAAATATGTAATAAAAGCAATTCTTGTTTCAAATTATATAATTTTGAGGCAATTTAACCGACAAACTTTGTTGTTGTTTAGTCGTTAAGTCATGCCCTCCTGTCTTCCACTGCCTCCCAGAGTTTGGTCATGTTGGTAGCTTCGATGACAC